TGGGGGGGAGGGGGAGTGAGGGTGGTTGGGTGGGGCAGGAGGGGAGGTCAGGGTTGGTGGCAGTGTGTTAGCCCCAGAGGATGATGTGTGTGTGTGTGTGTGTGTGTGTGTGTGTGTGTGTGTGTGTGTGTGTGTGTGTGTGTGTGTGTGTTGTAGTTCTCCTCAGCAGCCACTGACTGGTGACAGTCTGTATGACAGAGTGCAGGCCGCCTGTAGCAACAGCCACTGAGCCTTGTTTGGATCGATACAGAGTGTGCATGAGGTTAAAGCTCTGCCATGGCATCCTTATTCCCCAGCGACACACACAATCCTACAATCCCAGCAGTCAGAGGGGGATTGTCAAGATTGAAGAGTTACAGAGCAAAGCCTACATTTCTGATTGATGATACTATACATTTATAAGTAACTCCCCATCACTGATATTCTAATGGAGGGTGTCAGTAGTCCATCGTTTTGCAGTGAATTTAAACATCAGAAGAGAGCTGATTCAGTTATGAGTCATTCTATGTTATTCTTATAAAAATATGTTTCTCCAAAAATATTATAAAGACAAAGATGATCAACAAATATGTGTAATAAGAGCCAGGACAGTCAGGTCTGTGTACTGCATTAATGCATACAACTAATTTGCTTTTAACTGATATACTATTTGAAGTAAGATAATGTAATATATAAACTTTTCGGAAATTGATTTTTAATATACTTCAAGTTAAGAATACGAGTTGTAATTAGCCCTGATCTAAAGAGATTACAATTATTTTAGAGCTTAAAAAGATGAATATGTTAAATATTATTAAGCTAAAACCTACAGAGCATGCCAGGTAACAGTGAAGAAAATAAATGAACACAGGGGAAAAGTGAGACTAAAAATATTCCTGTCGTCATGTTGCACTTTCTTTCTTAAGCTACAACTGTGTTTCAGAAGGCATCCTTCCTCACTAACCCAACATTATTTTCCCCATCAAACCTCTCAGCACTGCCTTTTGATTTCCCAAACATTCACATCTAATGGGTCAAATAGCCCAGAAATTGGTTGCGACAGCACTGAGTAGTTAGACCAGTCTCAAGAGAACCAATTCTCCTTTCCACACACTCTGTCCCCTCTTAAATCTGGAGAGGCAAAGTGCCTTTTGTTTTATTTTCTATGCAAAGTGAGACACCT